TTTCGTTTTTCAAGAGGTTATCTGTACTGAATTGAAAATGCAACTGCGGTCTGTGTTTTCCGTATGCTGCTTTCATTTCACTTTATTTTAATCTGGAGATATGCATGCTTATGTGTGGCAATTACTATTGCAGGCTGCCGTTATTTCACTGGTTATTCTTTTGAGCCTTAAACCTCTCCTGGTTCTTACAAAAGGGGTGCCAAATATAGAAAGTTTAAGAAAACAAACAAACAAAAAACCCCAAATATTCTCCTTATTGGTTTTAGAGTGTCTCAAGTGTGCTGGATTATAACGGTTTTTAAGAGTTTATAACACATCTAAAAAATCTGGAGGTGACAATATAAAAGACATCTCCTTTGAGAGCTTTACACAAAGAAACCTTATCATTGAAGACACTAGAACTCTGAAGATTGTGTCCTATTATGTAGAACTTAAGTCTAATTTTGAGTTAAAGATTCAATTTGCCACTGTTTTTTTCAAAGAGGAACCTTGCAAGCTGTAGAGATAGTGAAATGGAAAACTGGAAGCAGGGCCATGTGCCTTCCTGCCTGTGCTCAGTGTATCGATCGGCTGCCAGGTTTGTGCTGGAAGAACACACCCCGGGGGAGACAGAGCAGAAAGGGAGTGGTGCTTGGGGGGAAAAAAAAAAAAAGAAAAAAAAAAATCTACTAAAAGGTTTATTACCTACCATTCACTACCAAGTTTGATTCTGGCTGTTGCATAACACTTTTAATCCCCAGCTAAGTAAATACACAGCCGCTTAAGGAGGGGAAAAAAACCCAACAACTTTTTGCATGATGAATAATAAAGTCTTTTGAATGATGCATAAACAGCTTTCTGGTTCTGCCAGAGCCCTCTGCCAATTAGTCAGAGTGCAGCTGATGAATCATGAGACACATTCTGTGAAATGTTCAAAAATCTGGACCCTGCTAAGTGTTCCTGAAAGCCAGTGAGACCCCCCACAGCTGCTAAAACAGTGGTTGCCAGTCAGTTGAGTTTCTGAGAGATGTATTTGCAATGGAGTACTTTTTGGTAAATTTTAGTTTTCATTGGGGGTAAATTCATGTTACCATTTATAATCTCAAATTAGATTGTTATAGTCCTTGCCTTTATCGTAAATACACAGGGAGGTTGACTTCTGATAGCTTTGTGCAGAAAATGACTTTCTGCTCTCTAATGAGGTGGCTTGAGGTAAATGGCGCTTAGAATTCTTCTGTAATACTCTGAAGATCCCTAGTCTTTTCTTAATTTTTTTTTTTTTTTTAAATACAAGGTTAGAAGATCTCTTTTTTTAATTAGATTCTGGGTCACAGGAAACAACTAGGTTCAAGCAGTGGCTTGCTGAACTGCTACAGGCGGCTTTACACAGCTTTAAGTTCAATATATGAAATGGCTGCATTTCAAAGTGTCATGATCTGACTCATTGCTGGTAAACTCTAGGCAGTGATTGAACATAGCAGATATTTTTTAATAGCAAGGTAAAACCAAAATCTAGCATTTGGCTTTATTCAAAATTTTCTCTGAAACTGTAGCCATGCTTCAAATCAACAGCAGAAAGGTTTTTCTTATTTTGCATTTTTATCCCCTGCTGTACCTGAAACTGTGACCTAAAAGCAACTATTTTGATAAAGAAAAATGGTTTTGAGTATTGAAAAAGGTACTCCATCCAGCAACTCCTAAATTTCTATAATTAGATCATAAGTAAAGAAACTAATCAGAACCAGGGATAAGGAACTGCTTTGGAAGGGTGTTAGCTTTGTAGCTGTAAAGGTGGAACATGCTATCCTGAAATTCCTTCTGTTAATGGAGTTTCCAAACCTGAGAATGGGACCATGAGAGCAGCACCAAGTCCTGTGGTAGACCCTGCTACTACTGAAAAGAGCTGAGAGAACTGCACTGCCCAGAGCCCTTAAGGTCAGCATAGACAGAGCAGTTTCTGGAGCCACTGAGGCTTCCGACACACCACTAGACTCAGACTGTAAAACTTAAAAGTTTGCAAACTCAGAAAGCTCTGACCTAGCTACTCAATCTCCTCAAGCATTATAGTCTTGATGACCCTTCCACTAGTGATAGATCATTGATGTCATTCTGTTTTCTGTTTTTCTCAATTGCTAGATTTTATTTAGGGAATGTTGATTTTGTTTAGTTGTGTAGCAAAGAAAATTAAATTTCAGTTCTCAAATCAAAAGGGTAGATACTTACATGTTAGTGTGTGTGAAGTAAAACATGGCCTAGAGCAGTAACCTTGAAATATGCAGACACGATGGTAGTAAACTCTGTTTTCCCTAATCACCGTTCTAAACAATTAGTATATCGTAGATAGTATAGCATGCATCTCTACCATTTTCAATGAAAATGTTTCTAAAAGCTGTTATTCAGACCTAAGCATTGGGTCCTCAGTAGTGCAGTGCCAGTTACTGCAGTCAGTAAGCAGTACTAGTAACTGCTGATAAAACAAACTATTCATTGGCAGTCTCCTCTCATTTCCTCAAGGATGCTTTCCCACTGGATACCCATATGCAGAGGTCTAGGTTGTTGTCAATAAGAGCTCTGTACACCTGGACTGTGACCCCTGTAGTTACACATCTTTGTAAAATACAAGGCTGCCATATACTAAATTTTGGAGATCAATAACCCTTGTTTTTACCACTCTAGCACCACTGTAGTTATTTTCCAAATGCTCTAAAAACTGCAGTAGAAGATGTCTGTCGTTAAGTTACACATTTTTTAAAAATTTGCTTTTCATAATCCACCTCCAGCAGTAATTTACTTTTCAACCCTCCATGGTCTTCTGCAAACACAGAAAACAACTAGACTGTTGGTTTATGCTGTTTGAATACAAATCCTCTGAGTGACATCAAATGTTGTTTTAGGACATGCTGGCATTCCCGTGTATCCTGGGTTGTTCCCTATTCTTTGTAACATCACATTTATAACTGTTCTTACTCTATGAACATTTGATTATAGAATTCTTTTAATTAACCCCTTTTATTCATATCTGTTTCCAACTAACATTTATATAGTTCAAGGATACTCATTCCACCTTTTGGATAATTTTGGAGATACAAATTACAACCTTATGACAAATCTTGGCGCTTTTTTCCTTTTTTTTTTTTTTTTAAACTTCTTTCACTGTAGTGCCTACTGTTTGACAAGGCTTTTGTTTGCAGATGCCTTTGGATGTCTGCCAGAATAGGAGCAACATACTGAGATACATGGTGAAACCTCAATTGGGAGAATATCTGGATTTTTTTTGGTGTTAATTTGTGTTACAAGATCCCCAGTTCTGATAGACTGCTTATAAATAGTGTATATTTTCAGATGGCACATCCTGACATGTATACATAGCAAATGTTTAATTGCCCACAAAATATAGGTAGTAGGAGCTAGCAGATCTGTCATTGAACTTGCCCCATCCTGCACTTCACATACTGCTGATTTTGGGGGGTTTTTTGCCTCCCACATATTCACTCAGTGAACAAATTGCATAGCTGAGAGCTAGTTACAGTTCAGATTGGATTGAAACTCATAAATGTGCTACTCCACAGAAATCTTTAATAAAAGGCAAAACATTTGTAAGGTCTGAAGAGAAGCCTGTGCAATCTGGGCATCTGCAGCACCAACGTGTTACATGGGAGTATTTTGTTATGTTAATAGGAAGACAGTTTGACCAGAAGCCTTCCATGGCACCACAACCTTATTCTGGCACAACCTTCTCACTTGTTTTTTCAACAAGGATTGATTCTAGATGTGCTTATTGAATACTAGATATCCAGTGATCAGAAGATTGAACAATGACTTGTTGAGCAATATCCATGGAATCAGGAATATATTTTCTGCAGTCTCAAAGGAGCTGGCTTCTCATTTCCATTCTGTTGCACTACACCTGGCCTTCTAAATCACCTTTTTTCTTAGTCATCAGCCCCTCCCTTAGAAGAACTCTCTGAATTTTATCAAGTCCAAACTTGGACCCACAGCAATGTGAACACTGAGGCATCATAATGTCCTCATTAGATAATCTGTATGTACAGCACATTAAATAGTCGTAGTCTTCACAAAGACACTTTGCCACAGGGTATTAGTGATGCATCATACAAGGAACCAGCACTTCAGTTTCACTGGCAGTTAGGGCAAGAAAAGACTTGATGACTAATAGTGAAGATGCTGAACTAGTATCCTTCAGAGTTTGTTAGACAGCTACTCTATCTGCATATCTGAAAAGTTGTTTTGAAAGAATGGTGAAATGCTAAATAAAAGATATTAGAAATAGTTTTTCCACTGGAATTATGTTACCTAGTATAATAAATTCTAGTCTTGATAAGCCAACTAAATTAAGCAATCCAAAGAAAAATAAATTTATTCCCATATAAAATAGAGAAAAATTACATTTAATAGAAAAAAGTTCGTGCATTCTTAATTTTCTTGCATTATTATCCAAAGATTGATTTGGGTTTAGCATAAAGGAATTTCCACAGCAGCTCATAATCCATCTTAATTTCATTAACAGGAGATTATGCTTTAATTCATTTCTCACTGAAAATTTAAAAAAGCCCTCACACATCAAAGCATGGTTGTCTATTTGGTTAGCACCTGCAGCGAGTGAAGTATCCTTGGATGATTTTATATGGAGGATAGACCGATGCATGATGACAAATATCTAGTTGCTCTCGAGATCTTAGTGAACTGAATTTATAACAAGACATTCAGGGCATTTGTACTCTTGTGCATAGTGAGCATGAAAACTATTGTATCTAGTTATTCCAGAGTACTTATACTAATTTATTTATACCTTCATTATAGTATTCAACTTTTAGATAGAATCTCTACACCCCTCCAGAATCATAAAAACCTTCACTCTTATGTTCTGTGTACCTTTACTCTTTTTCTTGAAGTAATCTGAAAAAAATAAGAAAGCTGATACCAAACAGGATGTACTGAATATGTCAGCTGACAAAGCAAGGCATATTTTTAATGTCAAATGTATTCTTCTTTTGTTGCAGTGTTCATTTTTGCCTAAATTCTCCATTCATATAGAGACAAAATACGAGGACAACAAAGGAAGCAATGACAGTGTAAGTATGATGGCTTTTGCAAAATTTGATTTAATGCTTTTAGTTAATCGTGGTCTGTATCTAAGGGTTGTAGATCTTTCAGTCTGAGGAAACGGCCTAATCAGGCTTGTATCTTTGCACCTGCCTGGGTGTCCTGTTCATTAGCAGCTTGTCAGCTTGCAGAGTAGTTACCTCTAAAGCCCCACGAGATGGAAAATTCGCATACACAACTTGCCTTTTGCATCTCACCTTCTGCTTGTTACTTCTCTAAACATGACATACTTTACATATGTGAATTTAGTCCTGATGAACATTCATGGAGAGTGAAGAAAAGATTCCTCTTTTTTTTGGTGTAATTGTATTCCACTTTATTTGTTTCACATTATTCTCTCTGAGTAAAGAGGGTTGAATTCAAAGGAGCTGTTAGGAAGAGCAAACAGGAAACTAAACAATGGTCAGAGACAAGAGATCTCAGTAAACAACTGCAAGGGAACAATGGCTGGACTACAGAGGTGACGCTCTTGGCAATCACATACCAAAAGTTAAAAAACTCTCAGAGTTAGAGCTTAGAGATGAAAAGGATAATTAACTACGCAAAATTCTCTCTAGAGAAAGGGTGGGAGTGAGTAGCCAGCAGCTGCTGCTCGGGAGATGCTCAGGAATAGAAGGCAGGAGGTCAGTTGGATTTTGTTGCCCTGACAGGGAGCAAAGCAGAGTCATACAACTTGCAGCAAAAGAATAACATTTGATAAAGCCAGGCATGTAAAGATTCAACCCTTGGATTAATACACAAATATGTTTCTATATGTTTCATTTTGGTTTGCTTTAAACAGTCATTTTTTGGAGACTTATGGGAAGAAGTTTCTTATAGATGTGAAATACAGGTTAAAATGTCTGGAAAATTGATCTGTAGTAGAGAGACCTAATGAAGGAGTGTTTAAACTCATTCTTGAGAAAGAAGGTGGCAGCAAAGCAGATTTTAAGGGGTATGAGACACAGAGCCTTTCCGTTTCCAGGGGTGTCCCTCTAGCAGCCTTGTTAAGGTTAAAGTGTTCTGTTCTGCAGATGGGAGGGGCATTTCCCTAACTGCCTTGGGCCTGCGTGTTAATAAGGCTGACAGCTGTTGCACTGCTTATGGCAGAATAATTACATGTAAAAGAACAAGGTATAATTTTGAATAGCGCTTTTGGCATACAAACGCTTTCCCAATGGGAACATGACAGAGATCCTATATTAGCCACTAGATACCAACAGTTTTCAGCCACTGCTAGTCTAAGCCAGATCGAGTGGGGGGGGGGGGCG